ATTAAAAAAAGATAGATAGATAGATGTAGAATGCTTGTCAATTTGTGTGCATATTCGAAGGTAGCTCCGGTCCTCTGTACACACGGACGGTGTTTCGTAATCAACCCGATCATGAGAAGAGAAATACGAGCAAGAAGAGGGCACAATACGAAACCCTTGTCCAAGAGTTTCTTAATCACGTCACGTGGCTTCGTGATATTTTAATGCAAAATGGGTCAATGGGCCAAACCTAGGAAAAAGTCCAAAATAAACCTTAAACTTGTAGGCGGAAGTTGAATCACACCCGGAACTCTCAACCCCTGAAAGCAACACATCAAACTCTCGAATCCCGATCTATTTTGAATCTTGAGTAGATTTAGCTGGTATTCGCTGAATTTGGCCGGCCCATTAGCGTGGTTGCTCGCGCTGCACTGGTCTTTCTTTGTTTTTTATTTTTGTTTTTGTTTGTTTTTTCTTTGGTTTTTCATCGGTTTTGTTCTGTTTTTTCTTCATATACTTGTTTTTTCTCTAGTTTTTCTTTCTTCGTTATACTTTGCTTTTTTCTTCTTTCTTGATTTTCTCCATACTGTTTGTTGTTTTGCTTTTATTTTGTTTCATTATCGGTAACTGGTTTTGTTTTTTACACAAGTCTAATTATTCTCAGTACCCAATGTACATTTTTAGTGCAGACATGAAATATTTTTTGATGCACTCTTGACATTTTTCAAATACTTTACATACATTTTCAAAAATAACATGCTTTCAATACTTTTTTGCATACACGGTAATATTTTTCTGAATACATGTTTTACATTTTTGTAATGACAATAAACATTTTATAAACTACACGAACATTTTTTTACATTGTTACACATTTTCAAATTGTATATGCTTTTTTCAAACACATGTCACATATAGTTTTTTAAGGGTATGAAACATTTTTCTACATCACACAAACATTTTTTAATATTGTATACACATTTTTTACATTACACAAGCACATGTTTTGAATCACATGAATATTATTTTACATTGTACAGTTTTTTTTGAAATACCACATACATTTATCTATACTCATGATTTTTTTTAGATGTCACAAACATTTTCTTTACACATTTGTTCAGGTTTTAAAATTTGTTCCCAGTTTTACAATTTTCAAAAAGTATTCACACTTTCAAATTTTCTTCAGGTTTCAAAAATGTTTATATTTCAGAAATTGTTCGCCTTTTCAAAATTGATTGCTTTTAAAAAATAGTTTTTTCTTAAAGTATTCAGAATTTTCAAAATGTGCTCACACTATATAAAATGTTCAGATTCCAAAATTGTTTATTTTTTTAATATTTGTTTGCCCTTACAAACTGTTTTCAAAGTTCGACGCTTCGGTGTGTGCTTAAATACACTGGGCCTCTTATTACATCACTGATAGTAGTCTGCACAAGAGCTAGCAGGATGACCTCAACTCTGCCAGGTCCCAAGTTCGACTCTGCCCATGTCTTTTTTGCTACTTCGCGCTTAAGGAAGAGAAAGACTTTTTACGTCGCGCGTTAATAAAAAGGAAAAAACTCGCTTTGTGCCTGATAGGCCGGCCCAGTCGAGTCCAGAGCTAACAATCCCTGGATTTAACATGCCACATCGACAATCCCTGTTTGGGAACTCACTCAAGGTTGAAAAATAGACCGGGAACAGAGAGTTCGGTGTGTTGATTTCCGGGATTTGAAGTTTGGGCTTGGATTTAGCTTTTGCCTACAAGTTAAGGTTTATTTGAAGTTTGGTGTTGGATTTAGCTTTTGTCTAAATGTTCGAGGTTTTTTTTAGACTTTTTTCGCCAAACCTAACACAATAAACAGCCAGACGGTGAAGATGTCACAGTAATTTCCAGCGAGCAGCAAGCACTGTTGGATTGGATGTAGACCAGACAGCACGGTTGCAGTTGAAGAATAGAGGACGTCAATCTTGAGAGGGATGGCCACCGTAGTGATGGCAATGATGTGTCTTGTTGCAGTGTTTCAGATTGGTGCTCAGCCTGTCTTCACCTATGCAGCAGTAGAGGCGTCAGTGACCTGCGACGGCGACATCCTGCAGCAACGTGCAGGACACGAAGAGAAGAATGCAGGTCATGATCGCGACGACTACATCAGAGAAGCAGCAGCGGTGGTTCAGGGCCTTCAGGCAAGCCACCCTCCAGTCCACACCATGCATAACATGGTTGCAGAAGAGTCCGGGTAAACCATAAGCTAAGCTAGTGGTTTGGACGTTGCCTGCTCATTGACTTGGATTTACCTTTTCTGAAATTATTATGGACCGATCTAGCGAGCGGCCGGCGGCTCGCTATCCTTCACGAGCGGCCGGCCAAAAACGGGAAGTTTTGCTCCGTAATCTAACATATAAAAGCTGCTAGAGTACCCGCCCATCCAGCGCCATCGCGGATTCAGATTCATCCTGCCCGCACGGTTCGCCTCGCTGGCCCTGGTAAATGTACTTTCCGTCGCGCTGGTAAAGATCGGGTCGCTCGTTATTTTGTACGCCACGTGATCGAGGTAGGAGCAGCTGACGGGTGGGCTAGGCTTGCGCGCGGGCCAGGCTCGCAGAGACAGGGTCGATGCGCGCTTCTGTCGACGAAAAGGAGAGGCGGGTCGCTCGTGGGCTAGGCCCAGTGCGGATGGATCGAGCTGCGAGGTGAAAATCCCGTGCGTCTTCGAGCAGCCAATCCAGCCCCGCTCCCCTCCCTCTCCACGGCACCGCCGCCTCCTCCCCTTCTGCCCTGCTCTCCACCGCGCTGCCGCCTCCTCCCTTATGCTCCCCACCGTGCCGCCTCTTCCTCCCCTTCACTGTTCTCTCCAGCGGCGGCAAAGATCTGGCGGCAAAGGGAGACGACGAGGGCGCTCGATCCGATCTGCTGAAGACAAGGAAGGAGAGGAGGGAGAAAGAGAGAGGAAAGAGGAGAGGGAGGTGTGGTGGCGGATGAGAGAGGGTCACCGGAAGGAGCGTGACGACCTGCAGGCAAAGGGCGGCGGCGGCGGCGCTCGATTTGATCTGCGGGAGAGAGAAGATGAGAGGGGGAGGGAGAGGGAGAGAGAGAAGGAAGGAGGGGAGAGGAGAGAGAAAGAGAGAGGAGAAAGGAGAGGAGGGGGGCGACGGCGGTCGGGAGAGGATCACCGGAAGGAGTGCCGCCGGCTCATCGTCTTTCATACCTACCCATGCAGGTTCGTCCTCTTTCCTTTATGTACTCCCCTTTTTTGATTAGTGAAGCCGCAACTAAATGTTCCTCTATCTATCCCCTGTCCTCACTGGCTTCTTTTCATCCCTTTGTCTCATGGATGAAGCTGCCGACTGCAGGGGTGTTGCAAGGAGTTAGAGGTCGTGCGCTGGCCGGAGCAGCAGGAGCAAGGATATGGCCGCCTCTCTTCTCTGCCACGGTTCCCTCCTCTTCCTTCAGCTCTCGAGATGTCGACCTGCAGGTTAAGGTGCTTGTGTCTCAACCATCTTCCTCCCTGTATCCTCACATTTTTAATTTCTGATTCGTGTTTCACCATAAGGCTAGAGTTTGTTCGTGTGTTGTTTATGCTCGGGTTTTATCTCCACAAAAGATGGCCCACACTATTTTAGAAGGAACTGCTGCTGTCCAATTTAGTGTTATGTTTTCTAGCTCAAGCATTGTTTCAGTTTCTATGGCCCAGGCTCCAAGTGAGATTAATTCTTTCATTTTGTTTGTGCTAATGTGAGTGATTTATTTCTCATAGAAACAAAATTCCGATTGATGTACTGACAAATGTGTATGGCATACTATTTTTAGGCAAACCATTGTTTGACAACAAATATGCGGAGGCGTTTTTATGAATGTGCATTTCACCTGAATCTGGAGAGCTATTTTATCTGTCGCGGACATTTTTGGTGGAATTCAATGCTTTAGCAGGTATTCTTGGCCTCTATATTTCCCTATCATGTGTATTTAACAAGTATTCAGTGATTCTCGATTTTTCCTTTTTAATCTATGAATGTAATTCTTAATGTGATGGTAAATGTATTATACATTTTTTGTCGAGCAAATATTGATTCATGCCATGCATGTTATGGGCGGGTTTAAAAAAAGCCATCCTGGTTGTAGTGTGAAAGCTTTAATCAAAGTTGTTTTAGTTACCCAGCCTTCTATTTTGATTGCTTTTGTATGATTCTTGAAAACAGAGTGTGGGTTGTGTTTATCAATAATATGCTTCAGATGTCAGTTCTGTTGCCAAATGATCTAAACTTGATTTACCCACTTCTAGAACTTAAAAGAATATGGAATTTACCTTCCGTGGATTTACTTGAACGATTGTACAAGTACCTCGGCTTGGTTTATTTGCCATCTCCAATTATTAATTGTTTGCCAAGATATTTTTATGGTGTTCTTACTCTTGATTTACTGACATGTTTGATTTGTAGTCTCTTAGTATATAATCAAGTAGTTGTAGCTAAACAAACGTATATCTTGCCATGCTTTGGTGAAAGTATTAAAGTTTGTCTCTGGTTTTACTTTCCATGTGCTACCATACCTATGCTTTATGTAGTTAATTAATAAACTCTCTTTAAATATGATGTTCCCAAGAGATCAGAAGGTTCATGGGGTGATCTTGTAGCTGAGTTGAAAGTCAGAGGGTTTGTGCTATGGGTGATAAGGAATGGTCATAACCTTATTTGTTGGAATATTGCCGAAGATGATCCAAGCTAATTATTTTAGGCACTTGATCTGTTATATTGCCATAAACTGATTTTGTACTACGCGAACATGAGGATCTTTTAGCAGTTAGCCATGTCAAAAACAGGATATATGTCAAACATCTAATTTGAGATGAAGTTGTCCTGCTCAATTAATTTATAGTTTTCTGGATGTTTTGGTTTTCAGCTTGGGAGCAAGTAGAAATACCTGATTTGATGCTCATGCTTCCAATTTTTTCACATTTCGCGAGAGCTAGGCGTACTTCTCGATGACCTTGCCGTCTCCAACCCATCCGTGGGTATTTCAACTCCCCTTCTGTTTTTTTATTTTTCTGCGCACATTTGCTCTACTCTCACTTTGCCTGGTATGCTCTCATTTTCTTAGATTTAGATTTGCTTGTTCTATCTCCTCCCATTTTCTATTTGTTGTTCTTTTCTCTGTTTTTAATTTGGTTTTTTACATCCTATTTATTTATTCTTTTTGGCTTTGACATAATGAATGGATTATTGCTTTATTTGGCCTTTATTATATTGTTTCCCATCTACTATATGGTTCACTTTGCTAGCTATAAAAAAAAGCATTATGGGTTACTGCCTGGTGGACCTCTGAATAATTTTTTCACCTCAGCTTGATTGACAAGCTCACCGGCAGGAAATGTAGTATGAGATGATTATTTTAAATTTCTCTAGCTTTTCTTATTGGTATGTACAGAAAGGACAGAGTCTTGTATACTTAATATAGCTTCCATCCTTCACACATAGAGACTAATTTAGTACTTCGGTTTTGGGCTGTCCTATTTTCTATGTGGTCGAACAGGAAAGCTAAATGTACAGTTTATTTGCTCGGCACCATTTACTGTGCCACATAGAAGTACATCTTTTTCTTATTTTTTCTAATGCAATCATCAATACAGTACCTTGGTTAACCTTCCCAATTTTTTTTCTCTTTTTGGTCATACTATGGATTTTCTGAAGGTGGTGGTGGGGGTTGCACGGCATGTTCCGTCTGGTTTCAGGTGTGTGCTGCACCTGAAAAAATTTCTCGGGTTGTCTCTCTTCGTATTTCCACCTTAGTTGTGATATTTTATTTATTGCTAATTATTTGAGTTAGTGTACAATCATATATTTGTCAGCCATGGCTCCTTAGAGAGCTGGACATGCTTGGTTGGAGTCGTCGTCGTCCTGGTTGGGGAGATGAGCATGCTTATGCTTATCTAACATATAAAGCCTCCTAGAGTACCATGTCTATGAACTCATCTCCATGCTACTATCCTTCTATAAACTGGGGGTATCCATGTGTTTCTAATAAGGCATTTTCTATTCTTTCTTTTTCAATTCTGTATCAGTAGTTCCGAGGAAGCACTCAACATAGACGTCGCCCCTAAATCGCTGCTGCCACCGCTTGTAAATTTTGTGCCCCGCCGAGGGCATTTTAGTCTTTTCAGCGGGCCAAAAAGGCAGGCAGCGCGGGCAGGAGCGAGACCGCGCAGACCGCGTCTTCCCCACGAACCCTTTCCTGTTTGAAGAGGTGGCCTTTTGTGTGGTACTCAACTGCTATCCCAGGAAGGTAACTCTTTCCTGTTTGTTTTTTGATTTTTCTGCTCAATCCACACTTTAGTTTATGTTTCTTGGTGTGCAATGTGCTCAATCTACCTTTTTTTTACCAATTTTGGTTGATGGTCGATCGAGAGGTGGTAGATACAGATGTAAGAAGAGGGGTGCATATTCTGGCTTACTACAGAAAATAACTCTATATGAAGATTAATTGTAAGGATGTGATGCTTCAAGGAAATAATATGTGCATAATTAGGTCTGCTGCTTTTAATAGACATGTTGATATGGCTATTGCTTCCTTTCATGCTTCACCGGCGTCGATGCCACCAACCACAAGTTACTCCATCTTGTGATAATGTTTTTGGATTACAGAGCTTGTAAAGGGCAATTGATCTTCTTCATTGGTTTCACTGGCGTTGTATGTTGCCAATATGAATTGACAATAACTCACATTCTCTATTTTCTATTTTCAGGGGACATTCCAAAGATATGAAGGGATAGCCTTTCGTTAAAAACCTGGTCTTTTGTTTGAAAGGGTCTAACTTTTACTGTGAACTACTTATCATGATCTTATTTTGAAGTGATGGATTTTTACAGATATTAGGTACTTCACTACTTATCATGATTCTATTTTTTGGTCTCATGTCCTGTCATCTCACATTATAATTTTGGTGTTCTGGTAGGCAGTGCTTGACTTCGGTGGC